TACAACTTTCCTCTAGTTTTTTAATGCTCCCCCCCCACTATTATGATCCCAATTCTACCTTATAAATCCGACGACCAGAGATGTACACTGGTACAGATAGGAACTGGAAACACAGGCAATCTAGGACAGATGAACCCCACAGGACCAGTGGTGAGAGTGGCAATACTTGGAGGGTGGCGAGAAAGTGGGGGAGAAAGGGTGAACTGATCACAATGATCTACATATAACTCCCTCCCTGGGGGACGACAGACAGCAGAAAAGTGGGTGTTGGGAGACATCAGACAGTGTAAGACATTACAAAATAATAATAATTTATAAATTATCAAGGGTTCCTGAGAGAAGGGGAGGGTGGGAAGGGAGGGAGAAAAATAAGGAGCTAATAATACCAAGGGCTCAAGTAGAAAGCAAATGTTTTGAGGATGATGATGTCAACAAATGTACAGATGTGCTTGACACAATGGATGTATGTATGAATTGTGATGAGTTGTACAAGCCCCCAATAAAATGATTAAAATAAAAATAAATAAAAAACTATTCTCTAGCACAGGGGATCAAATTGACAAAAGCAACTTGAAAGTTTATTTATTCATCTTTGATATGAGTATTCTCAACAACAACCAAATAAAAAGAATAAGCAGCAAAATGGAGTTTCCTTGTGAGAGAGTACAGTTGCTTCCATATGCCAATCTCAGTAAGGCAAATGTGTCTCGAGTCATATTCAAATTAGATTATTCATTTGTTCTTATAGTTCCAGATGTTTTGTTTTGTTTTTAAACCACTATAGGGCAGCTTTCCTTCCTGTCCTAAGCCCTTTCTAGTTCCTTTTGAGGGTGGAGTTAATAAGCAGATTCTAGACACTGATTAACAGAATTTTACTACAGGCAAGCCTGCCCCCATGGTGTGACTCATTTGAGTTCTGTCTTCTGTTTTCCTGTGTGTGGTTAGGGTGACAAGAGGGCCAGGATCTAGTCCCACAGAAGGGAGGGGTCTGTAGTCACGCATTTGCATGCTCTCTCCCTCTCTTGCTTGCGTTCTCTCTCTCTCTCACAGAGCATATAAAGTCAGAGGTTGCAGTTGAGTTTACTAGAGAACTGGCATTTACGTTTTTAAACCCACTCAAGCCTGTTACCAAGAAAACTGGGTGTGTAAAAGGAAGAAAAGCAGCAGGCAGCTGTCCTAAAACCAATATCCCTGTAAAAGAAATGAGAGAGAAGACCCTGTAATTTAGAGAGATAAGGGTGGGGCTTGGAGACAGATAAAGTACATACCATTTGAGTTCTTCTTTGCTGTTCTGTAGTAGCGTTTGAAAGCAGCTGGGCTAGGAGAGTCCAGGGTTCATGTGGATTGTAATGTTGTACATGCAGTTGCTTCATATGCACGGAAAGCTGGACAAGAGTAAGGAAGACCTAGGAAGAATTGATGTGTTTGGATTAAGGTGTTAGTGAAGAATATAGAAGTATAGAAGCTGGCAGAAGTACAGCTGAATTGCTCTTTTGACGAAGATGATGAGACTTTTGTCTCACATATTTTGAACATGTTATCAGGAAGAGCCAGTTCCTGAAGAATGTCTTACGCTGTATTCTCTAGAGAAGCAAAGCAAGTGTAAGGCCTGAAGGCCTCTCCTAACTCATATAGCATTGGGCTCTTATGAACCCAGGGTTGACAGGTCAAATGGCAGGCTCCTGACTACAGAGAGGCAAATGAATCCAAGGTCAGCAGGTCAGATGGCAAGCCTGTGATGACTCCCAGGATCAGCAGGCAATATGACTCAAGTTGAACAACAACAACAAAGAGCAAGTAAGCCTTCCCAAAGCATCTATACATAGTGGAAGCAGGTTACACTGCCAAAGGAATCATCTTTTCACTTGATTGACTCATCGTAGCAAATCTCATCCTAGAGGTAATTACATATTATTAGATGTTGTCATGAGGGATTACTACATTTTAGTTGTCAAATCACTCATAATCCTGGCTCAGCTAAATTGACACAAAGTCTTAACTATCTCAGACATCATGCATAGTAAAGCATAGGTTCAGTGAAAAGCGAGGGAGAGCATCAAGAACGTTTATTGGCACAGTGGCTGCAACAGTGGGCTCAATTAGAACAATTGTGAGAACAATGCAGGGCCACACAGTGTGCTTCGACTGTTGTATACTGTGAGTCAGAATGAATTGACAGCAACTAAAAATATTATACAGAGTATCACTGTGCGTCAAAACTGACGTGATGGCACCAAACAACAATGCTAAGAAAACCTAGTCACAGGCCATCGTGTATACCAAATTTGAAAACTGAACCAAAATGAATGCCAATGAATTTACACACAATGCAAGCTCAGAGTTCTGCATCTAGTCATTTTCCTTTTTTAAAGCGGATTTTAAAACATTATTGTGATTAGAAAAGGCTTACAGAGCAGATCAGTTTTCCATTCAACAATTCATACACATTTTGTTTCAAATCATTGATTGTAATCCTTACAGTGTAACATCACTTATCCCACTTGCAACCTGTGTTTTCTGTTTCCATTCCTCCTTTTTTCTTAACTTTTCTGAACATTGTACTTTGGTAAATACTGCCATTTTGATCTGAAGTGGTAGATTATGCAAA